GCGCCAGGGGCCATGGGTGTTCATCAACCTCCCGCTCGGTATCCTGCGCCCCACGCATATCCTGCAACAACTCTGTCTTCACGAGGTCCACCGTTTTGGCTCTCAACCGTCGGAGACAACCTGCAAGATCGGATGAAGGAGTAGCGTTGAAGATATCAACCGCCCAAACCTGTGGTGGCCGGCGTCGTAATTGCAATGTCGTGGCAACACTGCCGGACTCCATGCTGGCGATGATGCGGAACGCTGTCGCCGAAATTTACTGGCCCCGTGTATTCCAAATAGTGTGCGCCCCATGCCGTGGACATCATGTTGTGTTGGACCACGTGCATGGCCGTCTTGAGAACGACAAGGCGCTGGATGGAGTCCACCGCTTCTCCGCTCCCAAAACGCTCCCCCATGCGCCAGTGGCACTCCCGCGAGACCCGCACGGCCCAGCCCGTGTGGCGCACGTACTGCTCCATGAAAGTGAGAGGTCTGCCCTCCAAGCTCGCCGACCGCCGCCCAAAGGAAACCGGGCGATGGTCGGACACCCCCACCTGCCGAGGGAACGCGATCGATAATAAACTCGACTGACAGAACTCTGCTGCGTGGCGCGCGGTGTAGATGCGGTCGAGTCGGGATCGGCCAGAAGATGATGTGTAGGCTTAAGTCGGGCCTGTCCCCCTACAGGGGGATTTCCGACGAAAAATCAAAAAATACCCCCCAAATAATCAAAAGATAATCCAACAATAGTCTGGGGACGATTTTCTGCATATTTGTTTTGACCTTTTTGGGGTATTCTTTATTTTTCGTCGAAAATCCCCCTGTAGGGGGACACGCCCGACATAAGTGCAGGCGCCTTCGGGCCGGAAGAGCTCGTGCAAGCCTGTTGGATCTGCGACGGTGTCCCGCCAGTGCCGCTCCTCCGTCGCGCCTCGGCCGCCCGTGTGCGCCTCTGCGCTGATGCTGCAACGGTCGGTGCCCCTGACGACGTACAGGGTAGTTTTAATACATGGGAGTTTTGAATATATGTACATATATATATATATATATATATAATTTCTATATATATGTATATATATGTGACTAATTTATGAACAAGTTTATGCATGAACTCATCGTTGCTTTAAATGCTAAATCCCTGCATGTTTAATACATGACCCGAACGCGGAGCATGTATTAAAAACGGCACTGTAGTTGAAGCCCCCCATGATGATCCAGCGCGAACGCGGCCAGGAACGAATAAGATCCCGAATCTGCACGCGCATGGCTCGCCGGCCAGCCGCATGATCCCCAGTGCGGAAGGAAGCAGTGGCAGTGGGCACGGCGCCGTCGCGACCGCCGAGGTGCAAAGCGGCGGGCCTGCCTGGCTCAACCTCCTCCCAGTCCTGCGGGCGGGGCCCTCTGGGAGGCCATCTAAGCTCTCCGAAGCGGGACGGTCGAGCTCCGACCTACGAGGGTCGCCTGCAGCAAGAGGTCTCCGACGAGGGGTCTGATGCGGGGATCCGTGCGACCAGAAGGGCACCACCCCAGCAGGGTCGTAGTGAAGCTTCCGCCGATCCTCGGGTCGAGCGTGTCTTCTGGATGCCGACAGAATCATGACGATAAACCAGCTTGTACAGAGCGTGGCGTTTACCTCGCTGCACCTCCAAATCGAAAGCCAGCAAACCACGCGCGTTCCAAGTGGCACCTCGAGAATCTCCAGGAAAAGCCGGGGCGGACCGAGTCGACGAAGATGATGAAGATGGGTGCGGACCCGGAGTCGGCAATGAGGCAGGCCGTGATGAAGAGCGACAGGATGAAGAACGACGAGATGAAGAGGAATGAAAACGCGAATTCGGACGCGAAGCGCTCCTGGACGGAGGCGGCGGTCTCACCTGGACAGGGCACCGCGGAGGCACACCAGCGGGAGGTGGAGCAAATAGCAGGTCCGCCCCAACACCAACTGACTCGAAGTCTGCAACACATGAGCACACTGGTGCTCCACCGGAGGCAGGCGTGGCCGGTGGAACGGCATCGCCCTGTCAGCACCCACCCGAAATCGCCCCCAAGCGCTCCGTGCAAGGACCGACTCAAGCTCGCGCCGGGAGGCGGCCGATCCCGCGCCCCCCCCGGGCCACCTGCCCGTGGGGGGGGCGCGGGATCGGAGGAGGAGGAGGAGGAGGAGGAATAAAGGGGAGAGGGAGGTGGAGGAGGAGGAGGAGGAGGAGGAGGAGGAGGAGGAGGCCCCTGCTGAGGCGTACCTCCACTCGATGGCTCCCAGCCGCCCCGACGAGACGCCTCTCTTGTTCAGCGGCTGGGCCACCTGCTGCGCCATGGACGGAGCCGCTGCCATGGTCAGGAATCCGCCGTCCCCGTTCCCAGCCGCAGCCGCTACCGGCACAGCGTCTCCCGGACCGAGCCGCGAGCCCAACCGCCCGGCCTGCCGCTGAATCCCAGTCCATGCCGAGAGCTTCTCTTGCAGGTGGGTCAGCCACGTGTTGGGGTCCTGCGTGATGTCGCCCTCGATCTGCGCGTGGAGGACGTTCCGCGCCGGCCCCAGCAGCTCCCCCCAGTCATCCCAGCCGTGCTGGCCTTCTGTGCTGGTCTGCCGCCCTGTCTGCCGTGCTGGTCAACCACGCTATCTGGTCTGCCGTGCTGGTCTGCCGTGCTGGTCTGTCGCGCTCATCTGCCGTGCTGGTCTACTGTACTGGTGTCGGGTCCTGGTATTCCGTGCCGGTCTGCCGTTTGCTGGTCTGGCGTGCTGCTCTGCTCTGCTAGTCTGCCGCCTTCATCTGCCGTGCTGGTCTGCCGTGTTGTTTTGCCGTGCTGGTCTACCACGCTAGCGTCGGCATAACCACCATCAGCATCGTCGTCATTATCGTAATCGTAATACCCATCATCATCATCATCATCATCATCATCATCATCATCATCATCATCATCATCATCATCATCATCATCATCATCATCATCATCATCATCATCATCATCAGCATCATCATCATCATCGTCATCGTCATCGTCATCATCATCACCATCACCATCACCATCAACGTCATCATCAGCAGCATCAGAATCATCATCATCATCATCATCATCATCATCATCATCATCATCATCATCATCATCATCATCATCATCATTACCATCATCAGCATCACCATCACCACCACCATCATCATAATTGTCGCAGTCGTCGCCATCATCATCATCAGAATCCTCATCCCCATCATCATCATCAGCAGCAGCAGCAGCATCATCATCATGATCATCGTCATCATCATCATCAGCAGCAGCATCATCATCATCATCGTCATCATCATCACCATCACCATCACCATCAACGTCATCATCAGCAGCATCATAATCATCATCATCATCATCATCATCATCATCATCATCATCATCATCATTACCATCATCAGCATCACCATCACCACCACCATCATCATCATCATTGTCGCAGTCGTCGCCATCATCATCATCATCAGAATCCTTATCCCCATCATCATACGCATCATCATCATCATCATCATCATCATCATCATCATCATCATAATCATAACCATCATCACCATCATCATCATCGTCATCACCAGCATCTCCACAATGATCTGATGGTTTGGAGGAGCCGTCCGAAAGCATTATTACGGGGCTGTCTCGAGCGAAACGCTTACTTTTAAACAGAAGTGTGAAAGAACATGTGTTGATTCAATAGTTTTGCTCCTTGGGCCACTTTGGAGGTCATTCAAGAACGCTTCAAAAAGATGCCTCAAGACAGCTCTTGGTCTTGGCGCATCCTATGCTTCGAAGATGTCTCAGGCCAAACAGCCATTTCTGAAGTTCCGAAGATTATTGAAGAGATTCCGACATCCCCATGTTCTGAGGATATCTCTGAAGAAACGCTCACTTGTAGCATACAACGTCTTAAGATAGAGCCTCCAAGACTGCGATTTGGCGAGGACGTCTGGGGCGAAACGCTCGTTTGCAAACCTTTCCTGACATGAACGTGAAGCGCGGAGAGGCTTGAGTTGTGCAAGAACGTACATCATCATCACGGTCAAATGTAATGTACGCGAGCTCTCCGAAAGTTCACAAGGGATACCTATGGACACGCGCTCCCCAAACGTTCACAGGCATGTTTCTGAGTGACCTCTCACTCCTCTGTGCACCTCCAGTTTCCTCCATCACCCCCTCACTTCCATCACAAGATTTACCATCATCATCGTCACCATCACCAGCATCCCATCACACCATCGTTACCTTCATCACCAGCAGCAGCAGCATCGCAAACAATGTCATCGTCGTCACCATCACCATCATGACCATAGTCATGATCATGATCATCATTATCATCATCACCATTATCATTGTCGTCGTCGTTATCATCAAAATCATCACCATCACCATCGTCATCAGCATACTCATGATTCTCATCATCTTCATTATCATCATCGTCGTCATGGTCATCATCATCACCATTACCACCACCACCATCGTCATCATCAACATCAACATCAACATCAATATGATCATCCACATCATCATCATCATCATCATCATCATCATCATCATCATGACCCTCATCCTCATTATCATCCTCATCGTCATCCTCATCATCGTCATCATCATCAACATCATCATCATTATCATCATCATCATCATCATCATCATCATCATCATCATCATCATCAACATCAACATCAACATCATCATCATCATCATCATCGTCATCATCATCATCATCGTCATCACCGGCATCCCCATCATGATCTGATGGTTCCGAGGAGCCGTCCGAAGGCATTTGTAAGGGGATCTCTCGAACGAAACGCTTACTGTTACAAAAGTGTCAAGAAGCATGTGTACTTCAATACGTTGGCTCCTTGGGCCATCTTGATGGTCATCCAACGAGCGCCCCGAAACACGCCAGACCATAAGATCACCGAGGGTGCCCTCCCCCAGGATGCACAAGAACGCACGACAAGCACGAAAAACACCAGGGGACCCTCCCCGAGCCGACCTCGATCTCATACTTCGGCTCGATTGTGCACGTGCTCCGGACGTGCACCCCGCGAAGCGAGAGGAAGCCTCCCGGGTCTCGGGACTCCTGTAGCGGTCGGTCCCGATCGCCGTGCTTCGGCGAGCGCTCCCCTACCGTAGCGAAAGCTGGAGGGGCGTCGAGCCCCGCGTGGATTGCTGAGCGGTCTCGGGCGACGAAGAGGCAATCTGTAGAGCCCCAATAAAAAAATCTGTCGCGCCCCAATGAAAAAAAGTGCACTCCAGTCGCTGGAGATATTGGGCTCGACGCCCCTGTGCAATCTGTACGTCGATCTAATCAGTCCCCGACTTGGCAGAAGGTTCCGTGAGGTATGGCCGCCAAACTCAGAAGGATGCATGCATGAGAAGTGAGATACATAGAAGACCCAGGGCTGGCAGCTTCGCTGGCATAGGCAAACGAAAGCGCCCAGGCTAGACGCTTGTTTCCGTGGGCGCACGACTCCGATGTCCGATGTCATACAGAGACCTTCGTGTTCTCGGGATCCGAGCCGCCGTCATCGGAGTCTTCAGCGTCGTGGCACTCCTTGGGCTCGACGCTCCTGTGCAATCTGTACGTCGATTTAATCAGTCCCCGACTTGGCAGAAGGTTCCGTGAGGTATGGCCGCCAAACTCAGAAGGATGCATGCATGAGAAGTGAGATACATAGAAGACCCAGGGCTGGCAGCTTCGCTGGCATAGGCAAACGAGAGCGCCCAGGCTAGACGCTTGTTTCCGTGGGCGCACGACTCCGATGTCCGATGTCATAAAGAGACCTTCGTGTTCTCGGGATCCGAGCCGCCGTCATCGGAGTCGTCAGCGTCGTGGCACTTCTTGCGCCGCGCCCGCCTCGGCGAGGTCGCAGGGGCTGGCGGCCTCGAAGGCGAGCTCGACTCGGTCCGCGGCGCGTGCTGGGGGGGCGGCAGGCACGGCGGCATCCCGGCCAGCGCATACCAGGCTGGCTGAGACGTGGCGTCGTTGAGCCTCCGCATCGCGGCCCACTTCTCTCCCAGCTGCCGCTGCCTCCGCCGAATGGCCGACCTGGACTGGCGGTCGCGGCCGTGCGCGTCGTCCCTGGCCCTGCACGCCAGGGCGCCGCCGGCCTCGCGGGGGAGGAACTCGGGGAAGTTGGGGAGGCGCTCGCGGAAGGACGGGAGCTCGTCGCCAGCTGGGCCAGCCCGGGCACGGGGGGGCTCGGCTGCATGCTGGCCTTACGTCGGGGCTGCCCCCCTACAGGGGGATTTTCGACGAACAGAGAAAAATGCTCCAGAAATGCACAGAGTGGTGAAAACATGCCCAACAGATAGTCCCCAGACTATTTTTTGACTATTTTCGAATATCCCCCCTGTAGACCCAGACCCCCGACGTCATGATTTTTTCACGACGTCGACCCCCCGAGGTCTCGACCCATTCCCCGGGACCGGTTTTTCGTCCTGAGTCGTTTTTTGACGGTCCCGAGGGCCGGTAAGGCCCCCCAGAGGCCAAAAATAGTGAAAAACCTCCCGTCGTGATTGTTTCATAACTCGAGGGGGTCTGGGGAGGGACAGGCCCGACTTGATGCTGGCGGCCTGTGGGCAGAGCTGGCTGGACGGTCCACAGGTCGTCGGACATGTCCGCCCAGTTGCGGCTGCTGGAGCTCGACGTCTGGTGCTCGCTGCCGCTGCCCTTGGAGAAGCACTCCTCCTCCTCCTCCTCCTCCTCCTCCCTCCTCCTCCTCCTCCTCCCTCCTCCTCCTCCTCCTCCTCCTCCCCCTCCCCCTCCCTCCTCCGCCTCCTCCTCCCCCTCCCCCTCCCCCTATCCTCCTCCTCCTCCTCCTCCTTGTCCTTGTCGCTGGTGTCGTCGCTGGAATCCCACGCGGGCGGCGCCGTCAGGTGCAGGCCGTGCAGCAGCGGGCACTGGCTGCCCCTGGAGCAGCCCCCCTTCACGTACGCCCTGCAGTACCTCCCGGGCAGCTGCAACATGCCGCCCCTGCAGAGGTCTGCCTTCGAGGGCGGGCCGAGGATGCCGTCGCGGGTGGTGCCTGGGAAGGGGCCCCGACTTCCCGAAAAAGGAGGCCTGGACCAAAAAGGTCTTGAGGCCAAAGGACTGCGGAACTTCGTCAGGCGAGGTGGAAAAGGGAAGAGATGTGAGAAGGAGGACGGGTACAAGTGCAGAGCCAAGACGCATCAACGATGTTGCAGTTCACCCTGCCTCCAATTTCCCTCTTCATAGGCCACTGCAAAAAGATACTTCCATTGCGGCAAGGACAGAATTGAAAGACACTTGCCTGAGAATCCTCAAAAGTGCTTACACACAATTCCTGGGACTTCAACGCCGCGAATCGACGTGACCCTTGCGCCCTAAAACTCTTGAATCGTGCCAGAACGCGATTCCGGGGACTTCAATACCGCGAATGAACGTGACGGTTGCGTCCTGACAATCGTAGATCGCGCCAGAACACCATTCCTGGTAAGTAGTTCAACCCTTCGAACCGTTCAAAAAATTGAAAATGATTCAGACGAGTGTGCGCGGCGCTCAAGCGAGACCCACATGTTGAAACGGAGCCGCCCTCCATCAGCGAAGCTAATGCATGTAAAAAACAAACGTGCGCGGCGCTCATGGGGAAAGGCACATGTCGAAAATGGCCCGCCCTCCATCCTGGATGCTGTTGCAAGTTTTTGAAAAGAATGTGCGCGGCGCTCCAGCGAGAGGTGCGTATTGAAGAAGACCCGCCATCCACCCTCGAACATGGCGAGGATGTCTTAAGCGAAACGCTTAGCCCACCCTATGGAAACGTTGGGGGTTGCGGCGGGGAGGATGTATCTTTTAGGAAAGGGATGAAGGAGGACCCGCCCGTTGGGGTCCGCCCCCCCGACCCGATTCGCCCGCCCGACGAATTGTTTTATCCAGTGGGGGTCGTTACTTTCATGCCCCACACCGCCCGACACGACGCGCCCGTGAGGGCCCGCCCGTCCGACCCGAACCGCCCGCCCGACGAATGGCTCTGCTCGAGCGGCCACATGATTTAATGTCCCGCCCGGCTGGCCCGATCCGCTCGTTTGGGCCCGCCCAGCCCGCCCCTTCGGGCCCGCCCGCCCGAGCCGCCCGCCCGAATCGTGGTTTCACCCAGTGGGGATCAATCCTTGAATGCTTCGTCCGCCCGACCCGATCCGCCTGTTTGGGCCCCCCGCCCCGCCCACCAGCGCCCGCCCGACGCCGCCCGTCTAGGCCCGCCCGCCCGACCCGCCCACCCGAGCAAGGGCTGTTAATATTCCATGGGGCCCCATACTTTCATGTTCTGCCCATCCAGCTCGACCCGCCTGCAAAAGAGGCTTTCCAAAACCACTGGGCCACTGATCTTGGGATCTGGTGACGCGGTGATCTGGTGATCCGGGGGTCCGGTGATCCACCGGATCCGGTGGCGCGGTGATCCAGTGACTGCTGTGTCTTCGTGTCTGATTTGTGATTTACGGTCTTCGGGTCTGCACATGTAGGTTCGGCCGTAGGTTCTTAAGGCCTCGCGGTCTAACGGACTTCGGGTCGATGAGGGCCTTGGGGTATCAGGGGCAGAAGGGAATTAAGTTCTGGGGCCGCAAGGGCAAAGTGTCTGCGGCGCGGGTCTCGGGGTATTGAAGCATTCGGGCCTTCCGGTTTTCAAGTGTTCGAATCATTGGGTCGTAGGGACTTCGGGTCTCAGGGCAAAAGGCCCACGCGTCGTGGACTTCAGGGTCTAACGAAAGAGCGCGCCCGCCGGGCCGGAGATATTAAAAGGGGGGCCCTGGCTTCAAGCTACCCCCCCACCTTCCCCGTCCTTGGAACAGAGGGGGGGGGTTCCGAATCTGGCCCGATCTCCCTGTCGGCTGGGGGGCCCCTGGCTGACGGGGAAGGGGGGGAACTAGCCCCACCCGTTTTCCGGGCCAGCCGGGGCTGGGCCCCTCTTTCCAAGGAGGGGTGCGCGTGTGGCTTCGGAAGCTACCCTCGTCTCCTCCCCCGTCGAACTGCGCGTGGGATCTGGAGATTCGCGTCGAAGGCGCAGGGTCTGTCCTGGCGTCGCTGTTGAGGGCCGAAAGCTGTTAGGGCCTCGAGGTATAAAAAGGGTATGCGTTTTTTCGGGCCTCGCGGTCTCAGGGTCGGTCTAGCGCCCAGGGTCGCTGGGTCTTCGGGGACGTGGACTGGGTCGCAGGGCCTTCGGGCCACGGGGTTTTCAGGTCTTGGGTGCCCGGGCTTCAGGGCCACAGGGCCCGACGGCCAGAGGGTCTGAGGGCCTTATGGTTTCGGGGTCTCAGGGCTTTTATAAGTCATGGGGTCCCGGGGTCTTGCGGTCTTCGGGTCTGGAACTCTAAGAGTCTGAGGGCCGCGTGGTCTTAGGGTCTATGGTCGATGGGGCAGGCTGCAGGGTAAAAGGGGCTAGGGTATAAGGTCTTGGCGTCTTAGTGTTTCCAGTTTTGCTTTATTGGGTCGAATGTCCTGGGCATGGGGTGCGCGGGGTAGGGATTGGGGCACGGGGCCCAGCATCTAAGCTTGGACGGGGGCTGCTTCCGTGAACCGACAATTGAGGGAAGACGAGAGGTTTTCGGGCCGGGGGGGTCCAAGGGGAGGGGGGTGAACTGCGGGGGCCGGAAAACGCCGAGGGGGGGCAGCGGGTTTCGGGTGGACTTTGGGCGGGCTTCGGGCGGGGGGGGGGGGGGCGAAGAAAGGGTGGGATAGCTTCCGCGGGGCGAGAAAAAAAAGAGCACGGGGGGGGGCCTCGGGCCGGGCGGGGTCCGGGGGGGGGGCCCTCAAACGCAAGCCGGAGCATAACATGTCCAACTTTGTCTGGGTGGCTGGCTTGCCACATCAGCCGCTGTCGCAGCAGGAAGGCGACCGCGCCGCGACTTCGGGTCCACCGGGGTCGCCGAGTCTCTAGAGCACTGCGCGCGCCCGCTGTCAAGACGCCCGCGCCCCCCGGGAATCCCCGCCAGTGGCAGGCTCAGCTCACATCCCTCTGCCAGGAAATAGCCCAAGAAAAACCGGGGGGTCTGCCAGCGCAGGCCGGAACATAATTTACCCAACCTTGTCTGAATGGCTGTCTTGCTACATCAGCATCTGTTGCAGCAAGGATGCCATCCAGTCTCCACAGCACTGCGCGCGCCCGCAGTCAAGACGCCCGCGCCCCCCGGGAATCCCCGCCAGTGGCAGGCTCAGCTCACATCCCTCTGCCAGGAAATAGCCCAAGAAAAACCGGGGGGTCTGCCAGCGCAGGCCGGAACATAATTTACCCAACCTTGTCTGAATGGCTGTCTTGCTACATCAGCATCTGTTGCAGCAAGGATGCCATCGCAGTCTCCACAGCACTGCGCGCGCCCGCAGTCAAGACGCCCGCGCCCCCCGGGAATCCCCGCCAGTGGCAGGCTCAGCTCACATCCCTCTGCCAGGAAATAGCCCAAGAAAAACCGGGGGGTCTGCCAGCGCAGGCCGGAACATAATTTACCCAACCTTGTCTGAATGGCTGTCTTGCTACGTCAGCATCTGTTGCAGCAAGGATGCCATCGCAGTCTTGCGCGCGCCCGCAGTCAAGACGCCCGCGCCCCCCGGGAATCCCCGCCAGTGGCAGGCTCAGCTCACATCCCTCTGCCAGGAAATAGCCCAAGAAAAACCGGGGGGTCTGCCAGCGCAGGCCGGAACATAATTTACCCAACCTTGTCTGAATGGCTGTCTTGCTACATCAGCATCTGTTGCAGCAAGGATGCCATCGCAGTCTCCACAGCACTGCGCGCGCCCGCAGTCAAGACGCCCGCGCCCCCCGGGAATCCCCGCCAGTGGCAGGCTCAGCTCACATCCCTCTGCCAGGAAATAGCCCAAGAAAAACCGGGGGGTCTGCCAGCGCAGGCCGGAACATAATTTACCCAACCTTGTCTGAATGGCTGTCTTGCTACATCAGCATCTGTTGCAGCAAGGATGCCATCGCAGTCTCCACAGCACTGCGCGCGCCCGCAGTCAAGACGCCCGCGCCCCCCGGGAATCCCCGCCAGTGGCAGGCTCAGCTCACATCCCTCTGCCAGGAAATAGCCCAAGAAAAACCGGGGGGTCTGCCAGCGCAGGCCGGAACATAATTTACCCAACCTTGTCTGAATGGCTGTCTTGCTACATCAGCATCCCCAGACCCCCGACGTAATGATTTTTTCATTACGTCGACCCCCAGAGGTCCCGACCCTTTCCCCATGACCGGCTTGGCATCCCGAGTCGTTTTTTGACGCTCCCGAGGCCCAACGAGGGCCCCCAGAGGCCGAAAAGTAGGAAAAACCTCCCGTCGTGATTTTTTCATTACTCGAGGGGGTCTGGGTCTGTTGCAGCAAGGATGCCATCGCAGTCTCCACTGCACTGCGCGGCGCCCGCTGTCGAGACGCCCGCGCGCCCCGGGGCATCCCCGCCGGCGGCAGGCTCAGCCCGCATCCTCTGTCGGGAAGCAATATAATATCTAATCGGGTGTTGCTAGGAGGAGGAGGAGGAGGAGGAGGAGGGGGAGGAGGAGGAGGAGGAGGAGGAGGAGGAGGAGGAGGAGGAGGAGGAGGAGGAGGAGGAGGAGGAGGCACGAGGTGCCCCCAGCTTTCCGCTCCACTTGAGAGCCCCTGGGGTCCTCTGGGCCTCGTTCGGGGCGCCCTCGAGGCCGCCTGGGCCGCCCCGAGGATCCCCGGGGGCACCTTGGGCCGAGGGTGCTTCTGGCAACACCCGAGCTGAGAGAAGCTAGAGGGGCCGCCGGCACAGGCCGGAACACAGTTTCCCCAACTCTGTTTCGCGCAATCAGGGCGTCGTCTAAGATGACTGGGCTTAGCTGCCCCGATACGCAACGCGCAACGCGTACCGCATCGATGCGGAACTCAACACGCAGGCTGAAAACATAGGTCCGACGCGATGCATTCGCCAAAACGTGGCCCAATACGTGGAGCCAACACGCAGCGCATTGACGCGGACGTCTTGAACACGGGACGCGCTGCGTCTCAAGACGCGCGTATCGAGGCAACTAAGATGATGCCTGGTGGCCGCCTTCTTCTGGTAGCTCTTCCCTGTGGCAACTCTGCCGAGCATCCAATGCTTCGGGTACTTCGTCGCCTTCGCCCTCAAGACGGCG